GGGGGAGGGGGGGGGTGGGTCCTGGGCAGGTGCTTGCTGGGCTCTGAACACGAAGCAGGCCCGGCAGGTGGCGCCTGAACCTCACAGAGCCCCCCCACCCCCCTGTGGGCAGCCAGACCCCAAGGGCAGGAGGCGCCGGGCTTACTAACGGGCCAGGAATGAGCCCCGGAGCCAAGGGGGTAGCAGGAGGGGCCTCCTCAGGCCTCTGATCGGGCGAGGGTGAGGGCAGGGAGCTGCCAGCTGCCTCTCAGGTGGGCGCCTCCCGCTGGGCAGCGGTGGGAACGCAGCCTGCAGCTCCCGGGTGAGCCCGGCCCGGCCCAGGGGGCATGCACCCAGGTCAGTCCCGTCCCTGTCCAAGGCTGGACCTGGTCCTGCTTTCAGCTCCGACCCGCAGAGAGGAGGCCAGAGCAGCCTTCCAGCGGAATCGCGCTCGCGGTGACGGAGGGCGAGACGGGCAGCCAGCGCTGCTCTCGGTCGGCTGATACTTGACTGAACAGATGTCGGTCCCCCCACACTCACCGATAGACCAGCACAGCCCCAACCACCACCCCCCGGGGGGTATCAGAGCCAACACACTTTGAAGTCCCGTGTGAAATGGAGGCGCAGGTGAGGCTTTGAAAGAATGTTCTTGAAGTCAAGAGCAGCCACGTGAGAGCTGAGCGGGCAGGGTGTGGGCTGGGTGGCCGCCCCCAGGAGCGTGTGATCACACAGCCACCGGCGCTCAGGGCGGCTCGAACAAGAGCCACCGGCGGGCGGACAGCAGAGGACGGGCCGAGGGTGGCCGGGGAAGTCCCCACAAAGTCCCCTTTTCCAACGCGAGTCCCAGGAGGGAGTGTGTCCGGCTGTGGGATCATAGGATGGCCGTCTGGAATGAAAGACTGGTTTGGACCCACAGAACACCGGACACTGATCCTTAAGCGTCAACTCCGGGAACCTGAGTTTCAGACAAGCGAGCACAACAGGATTGGAACACGCATCGGGGCTGAGTGCACCGCCCACCTCAGAGCTGCAGACACAACCACAACCCGCCCGCCGCGAGGTTGACATGCTTGACCCAGAGGGT